AAATAGCAATAATCCTTTAACTGTAGAAGACCAACGCCTGATACTCATCATTTTTAAGATTTTTACTATCATTTTCGACCAATCTTGCGTGTGTACGTTCATTAATATAAGTTTGTGCTTGTCATGCACAAAGTGCACATAAACTGGACAAGTTAACCAGTGAGTGCATGCTTTAATACCTTAAACTACCGATTTCCAGTTCTCGCAAACAAATCGGTCACGATATCATTGGGTTTAGTGTTTATATGGAAGAGGGAACGTCATGAGTATTGTACAGATTAACTATACAGAAAAGCACTCAATGATCACAGGCCTGACAGCTCAGTTTATTATTATTATTATTATTATTATTATTACTATTATTATTATTATTATATATCCATTGCAGGTCCGTAGCTAGCAATTAAAAATGGGGGGGGGGTCGTTTTCTGAAAAAGTGGACCTTTTACCATAAAACCTTCATTTACCTAGATAAAATTTCATCCAGAGTGGACCTTTTTCCCCAGCAAAAAGGGTGTTTCTTTCGAACCCCCCCCCCCCCCGAATCCCCCCTGGCTACGGGCCTGCATTGATTACCAAATCAGTAAGACTACTTCTCACTTTTAATTTATCTACTGATTCATTTATTTTTTGTCAGTTTCCATTATCATTGTATTCATTGACTCAAAATAACTGATAAATCAATCACCACCAAAATGTAGCCCATGGCCGACCTATCTTGACAATTTCGACAAAATCCCTCTTGCATTTTGAGTACTGTCAAACGGACTTCATTCATTACAATTCAATTACTGTCATACAGGGTTTATTAATTAGCTAATGAGTTAATACATCACCACCGAAATCTAACCGTTTGCTTCTTCTTTTCCTCCCTACAAGTGGCTTCTGGAAGTTTCTGAAAATTCTCCCAAATTTTTTTGCATAATGTTGCTGACAGACAGACAAAAGAAACTAAAAACAGACAGACATTCGGTATCAAAAATCATTGGCAAATTGAATTGAATTCTAAAGCTTTTAAGAAATAAGAATATAATTGCGCTGCTCTTTTTAAATCTATTTGTTTATGTATTCATTTAACCACCGGATAAATTGTTCATCAGAAGGCTTTTGGACACTAATTAAGTAGAATCGGTTATCGGTAGTGTTGAGGTGTAAAATACGCGTTTATCAAGTCGCCACTGTCTATCAGCAGATTTCGCTCGCGTATGACGAGATAACTTCGCCTTGAAGTAGATGCTTGTGCAAACAATCCAGGTCGGACTTCATGACATCGTTCCAATTAAAAAAAGATATGGTCAACAAGTGGACAAATTGTTTGATTAAATCTGCACTCAGTGGAATGCAATTTGTCTCTTTGGCTATCTGTAAATCAGCGATTAAGTGGCCACTTGGTGGAAGCGCGATACGCTAGAACGGCCAGTTCGGAGAAAAGAAAATCATTAACCGCGTTCTCTTTTCTTTATCATAATTGTAAACGTTGTTGACAATTAATGTGGCCCTTGTCCGTTTTGGACAGTTACCAGTGGCCTGAGACACCAAAGTTGACATGGTATCTAAGAGACCTTGGTTGGTGTACGGGATTTTAACGCAAAAATAATAGTCAGCAGACGACAGTTTTCTTACACTTTTTTTCTTTTTGAAGTATGCTTCAATTTAATGACCATTATATCATGTATATTCCTCAACCGTTTTTGTTATGCTAAGTTCTTTGTTTTGGTCCTCAGCTCGGGAACGCGCATTTCCTATTTCAGGCATCCAGATAGTTAAATCATGACAAATACAAAATAATCGTCATAATAAAAATAATAATAATAATATCAATAGAATTACAAAAATACCCATAAAACAACAAAGACAAGTTATTTCTTGCTGCCATATAAAAGTAAAAATGACGAATACAAACAAAATAACTCATATATTTAAAGCACGTGTTGTATTATTGTGATATAGTGATAAGCTGAAATAAGTGCGTGCAGGAAAGCTTGCGTGTGTGTCTACGCACACACACTTCATGCACCAACCACCTGTTTAGCGTATTAATTTATATGCTTTTGTAATGTGCGCTACAGATAACAAGTGAGGAGTTAATAACGAAGAAAGAAATAGTTCACGAAAGATGATTTCAAGTGGTAATTTGTACATTCCAAATATGATGCTTAGTAAAATGGCGCTGATTAAATTCACGAACCGTATCTGTGACGCGTAAACGCCAATAAACACAGTAGTTTCTGTCAAGAAATGTCCGGCTGACAACGCGGAAATACATCTGGACAGTCGAAATAGCGTGTTTAAGGCGATTTAGTAAAAGGGTGTAAAATAATAACCCTGGTACGAATTTCGGACGCTCACGACAATGGTCATTTGTCTTCATTATTTGAAATGTATTTAAATTTGGCCGGAAAAAAATAGTATAAATATCAACCCGATTTGCAAAGGTGATCAGAACGCTCTGAAATCCGAATACTGGTATTTTTTGATATTGTTCAACGCGAATCGAACTGAAAAATGAAGACTTGTGCTCTACTCGTTGTTTTGGTGCTGGCTGCAGTGGTTGTTCACGGTAAGAAGGGTACCTTTATTTATTTATGTTTTTTTTTCCTATTTTATTCTATTTTGTTTTTCAGTGCCTCTGCCAAGGCGGTTATGTTTTGTCTTTGTTGCTTTGTTAATTAAAAGTCCACCTCAGAAAGTTTTGGTCGAATTTTAAATTCTGCTAAAACTTCCGGGAAAAGTCAGGTACGATAACTTAGGAAGGTTGGCAGTTTTCCAGTTATAAGTTAATAATGAGGGGTGATCTGCCCTCTTCCGAGAGGATTGCGCGCCCCCTGAAAGCTTTTCTATTGTTTAATTTTATTTTTGTTTCGTTTTGCGCTAGATTTGATAGCCTTCTTTTTTTACATATACATACAAAGATATTGACGAAAATGATGACGTTGAAATTGAATAATCAGAGAACGTGAAATTCAAATTTGAAAAGACATCTAAAGGTAGATCTGAAAAAGAATTTATGGTTTATTCTTCGGGTAGCTTTATAAGATGTGTGTACGAGCGTTTGTGTATGTTTGCGTGTAACTACGTGTATGTGCGCGTGTTTCTGTGTTGGAGAGAGAGAGAGAGAGAGGGAGATTAACAGGTATCAATCAATTCCATCATGTTATTTCAGAGACAAATGCTCGCGTTGCTGATGCCGTGTCCTCCCTGGCCGCTACCTGTACATGCTGTGGTAATACCTGCTCCGGCGTCTCCTGTACCTGCAGTGGGTGTGACTGCGTCGCCAGTGACAAATTGACTAGGGTAATCTATTCTTTCTTTCTTTCTCTTTGCAGAATAATATTATCTAAAGTTTCGCTTCGCCTTTGACAGTATACATCGAAATAGTTAGCTAGGTTTAATGCGTTGGATAGAATTAAGGTTTTTTCTTTCTTTCTTTCTAAAACAATATAACTAAAAGTTTCACTTCGCCTATGGCAGCATAGATCTGAATGTTGAGGTGATTTTTCATATTTTTTAATAAAATTAACGTATTTTCTTGACTGTTTTTTTATTCAACTATTTTTGCTTGACTGAATTTCATTTGTTTTACAGGCACTTAACTATAGAAGGGTTTAAAGGATTCCAGGTAAGACGAAGATCTTTCGCTCCATCATCGTATTATTCAATTTACAAACACTTTAGAATTATGGTTGCTTATAACGTAGAACTCTAGTCCATTTTAAAGGATGAATAACAACAAAATTTAGTTCAAATTTATATTTTTGGGCAATTGACAAAATCTTACAGAGAGAGAGAGAGAGAAAGAGAGAGAGAGAGAAGGAGAAAGCGAGAGAGAGAGAGAGAGAGAGAGCGATCACTGCATATTTGACCCTTTCAAATTCAATGTAAATCTGTTTCGCTCCAGGTTTGAAACAAGTCGTCACCGTGCAAGATAGCAAGACTCAACCTTGGAATACTGCATTAACAGAATGATTGTGCTCACTTCAACCGGTTGTATTAAACGATAATTAAGAAATTGTGCGAAAATTATAATTCAAAACAAGAAAGAGATTCTAATAAAATACATTTATATAAACTTCTTGAGTTGTTCTGGAGGAAGCGTCCTTAAACTCAACTACTAACAACAGTTTGTAAACAGGGGTTAAGGCTCATTTCGTCTCCGTGAGTTATTCATTCTGATATTGATGTTACAATTTGCTAGGAAGCTTGTTAGAGAACTATTTGAAATGTCGGTTAATATCAGCAACGATCTCGTTCCCTGCCCCCCCCCCCCCCCCCAGTTCATGCTGCCACATAAATTGTAAACTGATATATCAACTGCTACTTCATGGAATTAATGTGAATATAAGCGAACGATTCTTTTGCAGCGGATAGATAAATTCTTTAATAAATTGTGCGTGTGCGTGTGTGTGTGCGTGTGTGTGTGAGTGCGCGGGCGTGTGTGCGCACGGGTGTGTGCGTCCGCGCGCACAAGTGTGTGTGTGTAAGAGGGTGAGCGGTTTTTGTCTGGGATGAACCGCTGGACCTAAAAAGTTGGCAAGACAAGCACCTGTTTGGTGACATTATAAATTCTAATCTATTAACACACACACACACACACACACACACACACATATAAAAGTTCAAGCATAGACACAACCGGTTAAAATTTACTGTAAACCTGTTGCTTCACAGGTTTCAAAACCGTTGCCGTGCAAGAAAAGCAAGGTTTCTTCTTGGAATACTGCATTAACGGAGCGATGTGCCCACTTAAATCGTATTATTCACAAATAGATAATGATTATAAAAAATAATGTACGTAAACTTATGTGTTCTCCTATAACGGATGTCTTTTAAAGACGACTACGATGTGACATGTAAAGAGCGGTTATTTTGTATCCCACCTGGCGTTGTTTTCTTTGAAGAAAGTGTACAGTAGTGGTGTGAAAATCGGTATGGATTACGCAAAATAATAAAATTTGTTTATGCAAAAGATATAGGCCTAATTTTCAAAGATAACTTTTACATAATATGCATAAGGTCTTTTTTTTTCTCTAAGAGCTGCTTAAACCGCAAAATGACAACATTTGGAAATTCATGTATAAAACTGAAATTGTCTTTAAATTATTGCGGATTTCGTAAATTCTTAAAGTTCATGCCTATATTATTCACGACAATGTTAGATAAATAAATAAATAAATAAATAAATAAATAAATAAATAAATAGATAAATAAATAAATAAATAAACTATCAGACCGACATCGTGCACTCTATCAAAAATTATTGCTAAAACAAGTGGCTTAAAAACCAAACAATCAACCACAAAACAAGAACAAAATTATTCAAACAGTTAGCCCTATGTTTTACATAAAAATGTACCGCGCGTCCAAGACCAGCCTCTTGGCAACGTTTTTCGGTGTGGGCTTGTCTTGCAGATTAGTCGTCTGCTATACGGTTGTGTGCAGTCCACTGTGGCACTGTGGAGAAAATACGGTGGAGCTTAAGGTAACCCTGAAACATATCAATGATAATTGGTTAGATAAATGGTTACTAATATACAACTAGGAAGGCAACTAGAACAATATGCTTTAAGAGTAACATTAAGGACAAAAACATCTTTCACACATTGGGCTTTGCACTATTTCCTTCTTTTTATTTTTGGAAAAATTAGACCTAGTAGATGAGTCGTCCATCAGTGCGCAGTGTTCTTACTCAGTTGATTTTTGCAGTAAATTTGTCCAGACATTTGTCTTGATATTCCTTAAGCGGTACAACCACTTAACGAAATTTAAAATGCTTCGATTTATACCTTATCTACAAGTCTAAGTAAAATCTGTTTGGACAGGTTATCTATACTTTCAAATCGACCTATTTTACGCCCTAGGTCTCAAAATTATCAGCGAACGATTTTATTTGACTCTCGTATCTCTCGTGATAACCTTTCTAGGTCACATGTGCTCCTTAATTTTAATTTAAAAATGATGTTATCGTGTTGAGGTAGCAAAAAGTTAGATACATTGTCGCACACACTCACACGTTTAAAATGACTGTACCTGTAAGCTGGCGAACACCCTCACGCACCCATGTACAAACTCACGCACGTACACACACAAGCTCTCTCTCTCTCTCTCTCTCTCTCACACACACACACACACGTATGCACAGATGTAAACCTACCTCGTCTGAACCGAGGTTAAACCTGTGGTACATGCCGGGAGGTAGCGCTATCATGTCTCCTTTTTGAAACTGCAGACGTATCCAGCGGTCTTCACGATCGCGGACGTCAAAGAACCCAGTACCGTCCAATACCAAACGGACTTCCTCATCCGGGTGCATGTGCTCCGTGGCGAAAGCCTTCGTCTATAAAAAGCAAATTATTAGAAAATATTTTTTTATTTGATTACTTAACAGACACACATTTTTCAAGAGCAGTTTGTGATTCTAGATCTGATTTTAATTGTTTGAAGAAGAAATTATTATAGTAAAAAGGTTAGTGATTTGGGTTCAGTGGTGGTTTCCAAAGATATCCTCAAGTGGTTATGGAAAAAAAAAATGTCGGGGAGTTGGGCTAGAGACGCACGGGGAACGCATCCTCCAATCCCTTTTACATTAGCTTTTCTTTTTTATTTCAACGTCGCCTCCACTTCAATCTAAGCTAGATGCCCAGCGTTTTATCTCTCACCTTTTCTTCGAAGTCTGGAAGAGTTCTCTTCGAGATCTCAATGTCGTCTTCCCACGTGTAGCCGCGTTCTTGCTTTATCTTCTTCAGCGTCTCGTTCTCTTTTATGTTTTTTATGTTGTCCACATCTATCTGGAAGTTTTTAAAGTTGTGTTTTATACAGGAAAGTCGTTTCATGAGAGAGAGAGAGAGAGAGAGAGAGAGAAAAAAAGAGAGAGAGAAAGCGTACGCTCGTGTGCGTGTCCGTAGATTCAAGCTAAAATGTCTAGAGGCGGGCCTACAAACATGCAAACATACCCCCATTGCCCCCCTCAGCCTGCAGCCTTGGTTGTGTGTGCGCGTGTGCGCACGTGTTGGTGCGTGTGTGTGTGTGTGTGTGTGTGTGTGTGTGTGAGAGAGAGAGAGAGAGAGAGGGAGGGGGAGGGAGGAAGGAAGGAAGGGAAGCGTATTAAGGATAAGAGGGCATGTGGAAAAGAGGCAGAGCAGGACGAGGGAAAACGTTGACCGACTAGAACGTAAAACGTACTTCATGTCTAGTTCGACAGCAGTACGAAGAAAACAATCTGTTATATCTACTTGCCGTCCAGAACAACAACCCAGTCTTCTCTGTCAGTTCATCCACGCCAAGCAACTCCATCCGGCCATCCTCCTGCGACAGAACTTTGACGCCGCCGGCATCACTTTCCAGATACCACGCTCTCACCATGATGGACGCCCTGTATAGGTGCTTTAACCCCTGGCAGTGTCAAGTATTTTGGTTCAGACGCTCACACTCACCTACATGTGGGTTTTATATAACGACTGGTCTCATGACGAGATATTATTTACATTTGATAACCCCGAGTTCGATCCGACCTAGTTTGTTGTCAAGGAATATTTCTAACATGCACAACCAAGCACATAAACGTACATTTAAGGTCAGGGGCGGTTATCTCCAGAAAAGATGTATACATTCTTACAGGGTATTTACGAAATTTATAACCCATTGAAGTCATTAACTACCAGCCGTTTATCATTAATTACAACTCTTCGGCAAAGGCATATATTGTCCTCGACGACCTGCCCTCTGAAGACTTTTCGGACTGACAATTTGAATTTGCAGTATTATCCATTGTAAATTAATGCTCTTTATTGATACTTAATCGAAAATAATCTCGTAGTTTTTTTTTTTTAATCTGGTAAAATATTAAGAATCAATACCAATAAATATGCGATACATACATTTCTCAATGTTTATTACTTTTTTCTTAATAACACTTTATTTCTTATTACTGGACGTACATTTAACATTAATTTTAAACTGTGTACAAATATATAATTATCTCATGGAAGAGGCTGCATCCGTCCCAAAGCTAATTTGCCCAGCTAAGATCGCATGTATCCCTTACAGAGCTGTAGGCTGCCAACGGGGGTGGGGTGCCCACCCAGGAAATTTTAACCGTATTTTTAGGTGATATTTAGATTATAATCACAGATTTCTACCATGGAGTTCAACAGTTGCAGCCCAATACACTGCGCATTGACGCCATAAGATCCCATATCATCTGGTTGATATAATATATGAATGAAATGTTAATAAGGAAAATGAATCAAATGCAGCCAGATTGCTGACTCTGCATCACCATAAAGTCAAAGGCAGCAATTACCTGCACAAAATTTGCAATTAAAACCTACTGTATTTTCCTTTTTTTTAAATTTGTTATGTCATCTGAATTTTCTTACTGATTTCTATTGATTCAAAAAAAATACTTTGTGAGTGTCCATGCTTCATCTTTAATTTCAGGTGAGTGTCCATGCTTCACTTTTAATTTCAGACTTTAAATTTCAGTTCTTGTGCTGTTCACTAGTTTCAAAGATGACATGGTTAACTTTCATATATTTAACCAATCACAACTCTTACTATACTTCTATCCAACAAAGCTTCCTTTATGTCTTTATGATTAAGATATCTTAAAGCCCAAAGACCGCCTGATATTTCAAAAGAAAGTTGTCAGCTGTTAGATGACCTTGACCTCCCCTTCCACATGATCACCTTGACCGTCACCTAGTTCTAACCTTGTGTCCGCAGACGATCTCACAACCTTAGATTTGTATACCTTGAAAGAAAAAAAGGCCAAATTTCAATCAATTGAACCCTTATAAACTAAAAACTTATCATTATTACACAGATCTACATACTTGAGGGAGCAGCATTATGTTTTGTGTTTTTAACTTTGAAAAATTAAAAGATTCAATGAAATTTTAACTGTGTGCAACCACTGCAACATGACTCTAACTAAATAAGCAAATATTAATCATTTTGTCAAAAAAAAAAAAAAAAAAAGGAAATTTGAATAAGGAAAAAAGACCATGCATTAGATTTCCTTAGTAAGAGGCATAGAGCTTTCCAAGTTTTTTTCAATTCACTCATTGATTTTTCATAGAAAGGGTTTGAAATATACTGAGAAGTAAGTTTGTCCAATGATCTGCCCAATCTATAAGATTACAAATTGTCTGACAGATCCACTTGAGTTCAAAATGAGTCTTTAAGTTTACACAAATTGACTAACCTCCATCATAAAGTTATTTATAGCATCATAGTACCCGTTGCTCTGCCATGTTTCGTTATGGGAGGCTCCTTGAAACTTCACCAGTCTTTTTAGTATACTGCCAGATTTCTGAAACATCCATCCATATGAATTATATGTACATGCACAAATTTAATAATTATATATTATTTATATTATTACCTATTTACAGTAATGATCCAAAAGTTGGTCATCAAACTGTTTATCATCACACAGATCGATTAATACTTACATCGTATAACTCGTTCATCATGGCAGGTGGGACGAGATTATCACTCTGTCCTGACAGGAACAGAGTAGGAAGCTGCAGTTGTCTGATACGGATCACAGATGGATACTGAAATCATTGATTCAAGGCCTTCTATTAAAATTACAGTTATGATAATAGCATGATTTCTTATTCTAAAATGTAACTTGAACAATCAGACACAGGGGCGGATTTGGGCCTATTCTGGGTCTTCTGGAAGACTGTCAGATTTTCAAGTTTTTATTTAAGGGTATCTTTTTTTTCTGTTGGAAGACAGTAAAAAATGGAGGCTGGATCAGCAAAGATAATTTGGAAGACTGTCAGAAAATATTGCTGGATCCGCCTCTGAGACGAATATTCCTTTCAAAGTTCTGCACTTATAATAGAGATACCTACTCTTGGTAACACATCTCTTCACCCCTTCCCCTCCAAAAAAATATTACAATAATATTAAATAAATCAATAAAATCAAAACAAATCACACATATATTTTCTCACCTGGTTTTTAAAACTCCAGTTTGGTAAACTTTGTAGAAAACCTAAGTGAAATATTGCCTTAGCCACCTGTGGCAAGGAGGTAAATGTATTCTCTAAAATCACTGCAAAGATCTTCCTGCTATAGTGTGGATGGGTAGATACATATATAGCTACTGCCCCTCCTAGCGACCTCCCAAACACAACTATTTTAGAGTGGTCAACGTCCTCTCTTTGAAAAATATATTTCATTGCTGCTAGGGCGTCCAGGTACAGACCTGTAAAGAAAATTGACGTAGCACTTTTAGACTCATTTCTTTTTCACTTTTATCTATCAATTTATAAAATTATTATTTTTATTTGGTTATTATTATTTGATCATTATTTTTAGTGTAACTATAAACCATTGATCAGTCCATTACGCAACTACCCATCTACCAAACTGTCCATCCACTGATCCATTCATTTATTAATTCATTCATTACTAGCACTCTATCCTTTTTGAATGAAACTGGTCCTAGGCAGGACTTTTGCCAAGATTGCGGGTACAGGCCATCCAAAATGACCACCTGTAATTTCCTACAAAGTTTCAGGGAGTCCAGGCCAACATTTTTCAAAATAATTCATAAGCCATCCACCAGTCTTTGAAAATAAAGGCCATTTGGTGAAGCTGGCGGCTGTCCAAATGACAAGGCAGTTCGCTGGGAAAAAGCTTTGGCTCTAGGTCTTATGACCTTGGAGAGAGCTTACCATCCTCTGACGGGCTTCCTTGACTTTTACCATAACCTCTGTATTCCACCAACAGTACATTGAAGCCAGAGTAGAGGTACAAACAGTGAGCATTCATCATTCTGAAAGAGGGAAGACATAAGTTACGGACACAGGCCTGAAGTCAGTGATTTAAAAAAAAAAAGGGGGGGGGGGGGGGGGGTTTTTTTTAAAAAA